ATCTCTCCAACGAACAACTTCCAGCAAGTGGAGGGGTCAGACGATGTCGTGGGGTCAAGAATGTTGCTGGTGGTTTCTTCAAGGTCCATGCTTGCTGTCTGCCCCTTGCTATCTGATTGCACCAAGTCTTTATTTGTTGGTGAGTCTTGGTTCAGTGTAGCTTGGTTTGCTTCTTCCTTGCTGTCTTTAGTCTGGTCTGCCATGGGATCTGATAGAGTATCCTGCACCGGGGGTTGCGCTATTCCGGCGTCAATTTCTATTCCTGGTTTGGTTGTATCAGTCAGGTCGACTAGGCAGATATGATCACTTCCTGGAGTGAATTCTGCGACAAAGTCTGCCAAAGCTTGGGCTTTTATCGCGGTTTTGGGTTGGAATTTGATGTCAAATTGTCCCAACTCTACTGCCCACTTTAAGATTCACCCAGAAAAGTTTGCCCTCTCAAACAAAGCTTTTAATGGGAAAGCTGTGAGGACGACTATAGTGTGGGCGTGAAAGTAGTGTGATAACTTTCTTGAGGCCATCATCAAGGCCAATGCCAGTTTTTCCAGTGGCAAGTACCTTATTTCGGCACCCAGCAATGTCTTGCTGACATAATAGATGGGCAGATGTTAGATTCCTTCCGCACGAACCAACACTGCGCTAATTGCGTGCTGAGAGACTGCCAGGTACAGGAAGAGTTCTTCCCCAGGAATTGGGGTCACCAACAGTGGTGGAGAAGACATATATTCCTTTAAGCTTTCCAGAGCGTGGTCGCATTCTTCGTCCCACTCAAACTTGGCTTTTAGGGCATGGAAGAATGATCGTAGTCTGTCCGATGACCGGCTTATGAACCGATTGAGCGCAGCTGCCATGCCGGTGAGATGCTGCATTTCTTTTACTGAGTTTGGTCTCTCCAAATCCTGGATTGCTTTGATCTGAGAGGGGGTCTGCTTCTATACCCCGATTGGTCACAAGGAAGCCCAGGAATTTGCCAGATCCTACTCCGAATGCACACTTGGACGCATTGAGGCGCAACTTGTGCTTTTTCAGGATCTCAAACATCTCACCTAGGTCCTTGAGATGGTCATTCTCATCCTTGCTCTTGACCACCATGTCATCGATATAAGCCTCCATTGTTCTGCCTAACAATGGTTCAAACATCTTGGTGACCATCCGTTGGAATGTTGCCCCTGCGTTCTTCAGGCCAAAGGGCATGACCTTGTAACAGTATAATCCTCTTGGAGTTGTAAAAGACATGACCTCCTGGTCTGGCTCATGCACGGCGATTTGGTGATAGCCTCTGTATGCATCCAGAAAGCTAAGTCGGTTGTGCCCCGCCGGTCGCATACATATCATCTCTCTATAATACAATAGTCTTATATGATCTAAACATGATTTTTTTATATTTTTTGAAAAGAAAGATTAGATTAAAAACATTCATTTCTCTTCATTCACATAGTAAGATTAGATTTCTCTGACATGTGATGTGATGAAAATTGATTGTTATATTGCATAATTTGGTGTGTGTCTAATCTTAAGCAGGTCAGACACTGTTTGAGGTAAGTTAAGCTTTGCTGAAAGTGCAGGCTGGTTGCTGGTGTGTTGAAAGGGTCTGAGAGCTGCTGGTGCTTTGTTTACTGGTTGTGTTGAGTGTACTATGATCTCCTTTTGTTTGTTGGTAGTTGTTGTTTGTAGATTTTTCTGGTTTTGGTTGTGCTGTTTGGTTGTGACTCTCCACCTTGGCAGTGTGCTAGCAAAATGATTGGGCTCGTATGGTGGTGCCCAACCTAGTCAGGATTGCTATAATCGGGCTGTGATGCCTCGATAAAGGATCTTTTTAGTTTTCTAATCAATAAAGATTCTTTTGCTGATCCAAAAAAAAGAAGAAAGAATCATTTATTTTTCTGACTCTTTGGAGGTGGAATGCCTGCTTTGATCTCAATACTTGCAACACTTGCTCACTAGATCTGTTTGTGTATTTACTGTGTAATTGATGTATTTGGGCTTCTTTCTCATTGGTTCTCTCTGTTGGTAATTTAGTTGACTGACAAATGTTTTCCAGGTCAATCTGAGAACCCTGAAGTTAATGCAGAAAGGTCAAATGCTCAGCTTGACACAGGAGTTGGTAATGGGAATTAGACGATGAACATGAGGTGGTTTTGGCCTTCTTCCTACAGCAGGTACTGCATTTTGCTTTTCTTTCACGAGTTTATTAGATTGATAAAATTTGAATTTAACATATTAATTCTTTGTTGTCGTGCCTAATTTAGGAATCCTAGTCTCTTGGTTGCTAGGTTTCTTTTTCTTTAAAAAAGTTTTCTTTTCTTTTCTTTTATTTTTTTGTTAATTTAGTAATACTTTTTCTATTATTACTAATATTGCTGGTATTTCCTGGGTTATTTTTTTTTCTTGCAGTTAACACATTTGTGATGATATCAGGGTACTAGTATATCTCTGATCTTTTTGGCCTTTATTCTTTTATATTGTATAAAAGAATATTTTGGAAAGGGTTAAACAATCTGAGGTTGTTTGCTTGCTTGAGGATGATTTGATCAAGTAGCAGGAAACTCCTAAGGTGACGTTTCTTACTCAGAAACTCAATTTAACGGTGCTAGTGAAAGAGAAACCTGCTCCCATAGAGGAATAAAACTCAGCCCAACTGTGATAGAACTGTCAGACATACAGATCTTAAAGAAACAAAGAATAGTTGGTAATTTAGTGTGTAGTTCAAAATTTGAATCTCCTAGCATTTTTGTATATTTATAACTTAATTTTTGTTGGAGTATATTTGAATAAATATAGTTTTCGTGCATAATATTTGATCCGTCTTCACTTTCATGAGCACACATATCCTGTATCTAATAGGCATGGTAATTGACTTCACTTGACAAAAAGCTTCAATTTCAACGCCCTTGCAGGAAACTATTCCTTCTTTGGAAACAAATTCAAATGAAGAGTCATATTGATCAGCTTGGAAGTGTGTGGAGAATGCTCAGCCTTTAGTGGCTCAAAGTGGATCATCAATTTCTGTTTATCTGTACTAGTTCAAAAGCCTGATTTTTCAAAGTTAAAGGGTGAAATATGTTTGGACAACCTATCAGTTAGGGACTTCATGATTTAAAGCAACATTTGGACGGGAAACTTCTGTCAAGGACAAACAGTGGCTGAGGAGGAGGATTGCCCATGGGATTGGCCAACTCTTGTGATGTCCAACTATAACTTTTGTGTTAAAGATAACAAAGTGGTGAGAAAGGTAAAGAAGAAAGCTTTAAGAGTGTAGATCATACCCCCTGCTAAGGTTCTGTCAGTTGGAGTGAATGAAAACTGTGGAGGTTCACCAATTGGATGAAATAACCAAATTAGAAAATCCTCAATATCTTTGTGGCAAGATAATTTGACAGATCCTAGTTTAGAATATGATTGTAGTGTTGAAGATTTGAACATTGAACAGAGAGCAGCAAAAAGAGTTCGGAATGTGAAGAAGCAAGCGAATGTGTGAAGCCATCTAAGGGTAACTTTCATGCTACTGCTGCATGAATGTATATATTGGGAATGTAAAGTTTAGTATGTAGCTTTTACCTTGTTATCTTGCGACAGTCTTGCTATTTTTTTGGTGGGAAGGTTAAGTTGATTCTGTACTTCTGTGTCTGTCTCTCTTTGTACTTGACACGATTGTAAT